TTATAAAAATTGTAATTGTTGTCAATCACTTTGGAATATTGAGGTCATCTTCGACGCTTAGAATCTTAGTAAAATGCCATACTTCTTCCGCCTGTCGATTTCAATTATGGTTGTTATTTGAAATACCACATTTCAGTATTGATGCTTGTATGCCACAATAAATAAAAGATCATGTCGGTACAGTCTGCTCTATTATTAATCCCCTGATTAACAAGTGTACTTGTTTAGACCTCAGGAACCTAAGAAGTTACTTGGGACGAAATATAAGAAAATTTCTGACCAAAATTAAACTCAGCGAAGCTTGGCCTTCAAATGCAACACTTTCATTCGATTGCAAGACAATTATCCAAAACATAAGTGAAGTGTTTTGCCGCAGTACGGCAAAAATTGTGAGTAATCTTTCAGTTTCGCAGATATCCTATAAATGAGTAAAGCGTGAAAGAACTAACTTGGACTACGATGAATTCCAACATAACACTCCAGACATGGAGCAGAAATTTTGAATGAAGCATTTCTGAATTCCAGTCAATGAGTCAGGTTCGAATATTGCATTCGATAGTGTACAAGAATAAATTTTCTGAACCTTGTCAATCGCTCATATTATGTTCAATTTCCTTTGCATGGAAAAAAATTTAAATCTATCTGAATCTTGGATTTAATGGAAGCAAGTTGGCTAATAACTTCTCAATAAAGCGTGATTCGTAGTGCCAAGCAAAGAAATAAAATATATTAATTGTAAACTAGTCGCAAATGTTTTGATTTGTTCATGTGGATGACGAATTGAACTTAAAATTTTGCGAAAATTAAGTATTGCGGAGTTTCTCACCTTGAAAATTCAAAACAGCAAAGTAATGTTACTTTCCCTCTATTTTTTGGTGTCATCAAGTAAGTATCACCCAAATTTAGCGCTTGTTTTGCTTATCCGTCTTTTTTTTGTTCCCAGAGTAGGCCGCACCCTCAGTCAATCAGTCAGTCGGTTAGGTCGTGGTGCAGTCAATCGGTCACTTACGGGTCGCTAAATCAGCAGCGTAAATCTGTGATACAGTGGAAAAGTTGGCTTCGAATACAGGAGGTGCGCAGTTCGAATTCAAAAAGAGGATAAATTGTGTCATAACCATTGATAAACAAACTCGCTTCACCATGATTCAGTGTAACGAGCCAAAAAATGAACTATCAGGCAGGGAATCCCTTAATTGGTGAGATATACGGTCGCGCTGTCTGATGCGGGCGCCTCTTAAGTCTGAAACTCTGCTTAAGGCACTTGTTAACTAATAGCTCGGTGTAGTGTCAGCACAAAGTGTAACCCCTACTGCTGTTGTTCTTTTGATAATTTATCTCCCCATTGTACAGCGATGATTTTGTTGTTCTACAACTCGAAACGGAAATGAGACATAATGAGAATAAGTTTAAGTCATATTTATCTTAGCATAGCTTCAAAGTCCTATTCTTCAAGGAATCAGATGCCGTGCTTCCGAAAAAAATGGAAAACAGTTCATTTTTTATAATTTAAACTTTCAATGAGATGTTTGACCTTGGTACACCTATGAGGATAAAATGCCAACTATGACGAAATGACAATGTTCGAAGTACCTCTTTAACATCAGGATAAATATCCCATAAAAGATATTGAAATAACGGGAAAATAATAAAAATAATCATGGTACCATGTTATGCTCACTTCGACAACTAGAATTTAATTTAATTACCACATTATCAATTACATTTGAAACAATTCTTCAGTCAGTTTGGAATACCGCTTGTCCTTTCGCGTCGGGGAGGGAAGCTCGTTATACAGTGCCTTCAACGTTCGTAATTTAGCGATAATGTATGAGCTTCAAAAGGAGATAAACTAAGCCTGTAACTGAGTCTTTCGACACATACTCCAAGTCACTCTTGGTCACAACCACTGTGTTTGGCTCTAGT